AATAGGTAAAGGTAAGAAAATTAAAGCATACAATTCTATATTGACAATCTCTAACCGTCGGTATAAGTAAAAAAATTAAAAAATACAAGTTTATACTAACGAATGTTGAGTGGTGATATAGGTAAAAAAAATTATAAGTCTATATTGACAGGCACTAACTGTCAGTATAGGTTAGAAAAATTAAAACATATAAGTTTATACTAACGGACATTAGCCGTCGGTATAGGTGAGAAAATTAAAATATAAAAATCTATACTGACGGGCTTTAAACATCAATATAGGTAAAAAAATTACAAGTCTATACTAACAATCATTAACCGTCAGTATAGATAAGAAAAATTAAAATATACAAGTTTATACTAACGGGTATTAATCGTCGGTAAAAAGTATAATGATGTAATACACAACAGATGCTATATTAACATATATACATTTACTGACGGTCTTGAACCATAGGTATATCTCTGCAAGTTATTTCGATACCTTAAAAATTGTCAGTATAAGTCTATATCGATAAGGGATATATTAACAATTAAAAATTCAATAAAATGCACATTTTAACTGTCAATATAGAGTTTATAGTGCTATACTGATGAATTTTAAGATTTTATCGACGCTTAATTGGACGTCACTATATGTCAGATTTCTTATAGTGATTTAATCCTCACCGCTGCACTAGTCATGTTAAAAAGGGTGTACTGCATCAGTTATTGTATCATATGAATCACATTGTTCATTCAAATACACACTAAGTATTTTTAATAATTTTAAATAGATATTATTTGAGAACCAAGTTACTACGTTAGACTTACATATATATATATATAATAGTTTCTTTTCAAATGTTTTTTTTTTTTTTCACAAATTGACTTTCCAATACTGGGTGACCCTTAGAAAACCATCATATCATAACTTAGACTGGTATTTTCAACAAATTAAGCCCAATTACGTAACCCTTTTTTTTTTCTGTATAAACATCTAATTTACATGTCAGTAATATATTCTTATTCAATACCAATAATGAGACCCAAAAATTTTGATGTTGAATATGAGACGGGACAGTTCTCGATCGAGTTATTAGCACTGGAATATGAAAAACAGCTTCCTGCAGATGCACGCAAGGACTTAAAAGTTATAACCACATTACTTGGATGGCAATGCCCCACATGTCCCCTTCCGAATTAGAACTGTTAAATTAACCATTGTTGTTTTGTGCAGGTGGCCTTGTAAATTAAATTCTTGACCACCGTTGTAGTTAGAAAAGCTGCTTTCTAGTGCAATAGCATTACAAGTCTTGCAAATATCACGAAAGTTGAACAGCCAATGGCTAAACTAATTATAGAACTAGGTTGGCTCTACTTCACCGTCTAATAGTAAGTGTCTTGAGTGATCAACAACTTCACTGACTAATTAATATCGGACATCAATCATTCAGTGCCATGGCAATCAATCAGGAATCTGATTTTCAGCCTTTTCTTTCTTCTGTCTGCATAAAACCGTGATATATTAGCAATCAACGAAGCTGAGAAATTTGCTAATTACTAATACGGAAATACCAAATGTCTCATGCAACAAGTGCTGAAGAAACCCATTTTCTTGGAAAATTTTGGCTGACAGCTATCAGAAGTCACTATGAAGTTTCCAATCCTCGTTGATGCTGCAAATCTACATCAAACATCTGCTTCCCATAGAATTGATTAAAACAGTTATAATCACTGGAATGCGACTCACTAACAGCCTTAATTAGCCGTACCATCCGGACAGATCTTAAGTCTAGAGACTCTAGAGAAATGCAATCTTAGCATTAGAAGAGGCGCGGGAAAACCCCATCATCTGAGATCTAATCTTTTGTCTTCGTAGGGAATCTCCGCAGTTGCAATTTCCTGAGAAAAGAGTCACTTCTTGCAATGCCTTTCCATGCTTCAACAAAAACTTTGCTAGACTAACTTCGTTCTCATATTCGAAGAATCCGTGGATTTTTAGAACACTAAGGTGGTTTAGGAAGGATTTCAAAGACTGGGTTTGAGATTCCCAAAATTGTTCTTCCTCTGAGGTAGGCATGTCCCACAAGTCCTTGTTCCATTTCTGAAAATTAGTGAAAACCAAAAAACAAAAAGGCGAAAATGACCAGGTGAATCAAATTGAACTTCAACTAGGAAGCTTATATATAATATAAACGAAAAAGAATGAAAATTTTGTGGCACTTACTCTTCTTTCAATCTTGTAATCATTTACAATCTTGAGAATTAGAGTGTGTAATATGGGAGAGCTCTTGAATAGATAAGCTAATCCAGGGAAGTTATGTTTGTTGAAGCCAGTTTGAATCTCCAGAGATTTGAGATTGTTGAATGGATATTGCATTACATTTGCAATATAATTATTCTTGCTTGACAACATCTGCTATATTGACAACTACAGGTAAGGTTTACATCCAGAGGAAGGCAGTTATGGACAAATTTTGACTATTCATGAATGGCTTTAGGTAAATGTAATTAATGCAAGTTTAATTGCTCCGAAAAAAATGTTTCACAAATCTTTTTAGAGGGGTTCTTGCATTGGATTTCCTTTAAGTAAATATGATGCAACCTAATCATTGTTGCAAAAAAAAAAAAAATCGTTTTAGATGCATGAGTTCAATGGTGAACAGTTGAGAGGAAGATTTGTGAACATCATGATCTTCTTAGGAGAAAATGTTTGACAATATCCAAAAAATTAGTGAAACTAAATCCTTTCTCCAAACACTTCAAAAAAAGTATAATTAAATATAAGTTTCATGCATATAGGGGAAATAAATCAACTTCTAAGAAAAACTACACTTTATTAATTACCATGCATGGATAGTCACCATCCAATAATAAAGAAGAAAATGTACCTCAACGCATTGGGTTTCAAGTGTTAGGCAATGGACCCGAGAGAGTCCTGACAAAAGATTAGATACACTCTGAAGCTTTGTTACACTTTTATCTTCATGAAGTACAAAGAAACCAATGGAGGCCTCATGCACCGAAATCAAATTCTCTAACGAGCTAGTTTCGGTGATGGCATTATATTCCCAAACCATAATTCTGAGGCTTGGAGCATTAATCTTCACCCAACTCTTATCAAAATAAGCATCAAAACAGCTTGCAACTTGCAATCTCTTTAATTTTGCCCCGGAAACTTCCAAGCCATGTAACTGGAAACAATTTTCTAGGGTCAAATCTTCGAGGACCAAGCAACTAACCTTTAGATGTTTCAACCCGAAGCAAGCATCGAGATTCAATTTCTTGAGCCGAGGAAATGACGAATCCGTAAACAAATCTGAAAGAGAGGGTTGGCTGTATAAAATGACAAGAGAGAGAGATAAAGTGTGGAGCGAGCGGAAACCACCTTTCATAACCGGTGGAGGAGGCAACCTGAAACCAGGATAACGAGATCTCAACTTGAAGACCCGCAAAGATTCACTTGTGATAACACTTCGGGGGAAATTAAAATAATCATCCGTGGCCACCTCAACATCTAATTCCTGCACATTCTGCCTTACGGCACGACGGATCAAGCCATTTAGACGTGAAAAACTCAAAGAAGCACGGAAACGAAGGATCCTTATATCGGAATGCTTGTTGCGGAGAGCTAATACCTGGCTAATGAAGTCCATTCTTTTAGCAGAGGAAGAATCGGGGGATGATCTTTTCTCATTACTAGGTTTGATGTTTGTTGAAGGAACTGATCCAATTGGGTTAATGGAGGTGAAGTCAAGGTCAGGGAAGGATGACCACAAAGATCTCCATCTTTTTGATAAGACACTGGTTTGTGCTATGGTTTTGATAGGAAGATGGAAAAGAATGTGATGGAGAACAACGTCAGGGAGATCAGTGATCCTGTCAATCCCATTTTCGCCTTCAAACCAAAACTTCTTTCGCTTTGCAGATCTTGTTTTCATTGAAACATTGGTATTTTCTTTTTTTCTTTTCTTTCTCGTTTGCCAAATATTATTTTTTTCAGTGAAATCTATATGTTGAGAAATGGTGAGGTAATTAAGGTTTGAATTTTTCAAAAGAATGAAGTAAGGTGATAACGAGAAGTGCGTTTGAGTTTGTTTGAAATCTCAAATCAAATAAATAAATAAAAATATACAGAAATTTATTTTGCCATATGTTAGTGTTGCAGTATGTTGTAAACTATACTATCATCCAAATTAGATTAATACACTTTCTTAAATATGAAAGATTTAATAATAAAATAAATTGTGAGCCAAATTCATTGTTTGAAAACGTATATTGTTCATCATAACGATAACTTGGGCAAAGAACCTCGCATATTATATCCAAAATTCCTTTGGAATTTGGCCAGGATTTCATTTATATCCTAAAAATAGTATACATATATGCATTAACTTTGTACTATATGATATCCAACCTTACTCTTGTTTAATTGTTGGCCAAAAAAACCTCTTGCTCAATTGTTAACCCAAGAAAACACGATTAGGGAGCACCTAATCTATCACAATAAAATCATATTATAGTCCATGAAAATGAAATCTTATATTATAAAGTAAATTACCTATTGACTATACACTTTTTATAAATTACACACATATACTAAATGAAAACAGTTTTCATTATTAATATTAAAATTATTATTTCATGCACTATCAATGAAAATTTTACTCTATTATCATGTCATTTTTTATTTTATTAATTTATTAATAATCTCGATAATAGAGTTTAAAAACTTTTATAATTAATAGTAGTTATACTGTGTTAGTATATTAAATATAAATATTATCTTGATTTTATAATTAACCAAACTGGATTTTTTTTATGAAACCAAACTAGATGATTTGATTGACATTGTCAGAGATTGCACGATCTTAAAAATGCCTAAGCACATAAGCGATTGTAATTTAGGATTTACTTGGCCAATTTCCAAATAATTAAGAACATTAATGATTTGATTGACACTGCCAAACGCAATTTTCCAAGTGACATGCTTCCCTTTTAGGGATGGCGGAACCAAGGTGAAGAATGCTATTTTTGTTTTGCGCAGGACATGAACATGAACAAAAACAAATGTGGCAAGTGCGCAAATTTAGGAAGCTCTTTATAGAACAATTCTGAGTAATCTCATGCCCCAACCAATACAAAGTTTGAAGAGAGAGAGAGGAGATCCTGATCCAACTAATGTTATCACACTATTCCGGAGATAATGTTTCAGTGAAAAGATTTTTAATCTTGTCTCCGGTACCTGCATAATGCAGTTCCAGTTCTTCCAGTTCAGGGAAGCCAACGTTACTACAACTTCTTGAAGAGAAATCAAAGGATTATTCATCTGGAGCTTCAAAAAACATGGGAAAATCAGGTCTGCTCCTTAGAATGGACTTAACAAGCCTCGACCCTCTTGACTATACAACTGCACTTATTTGGAGGTTTTAATTAGGAATCTCATCCAACTCGAAAGCTTGAGAAATTCCATGGACCACAAACTTCTTGGATTGAAAGATATTTGGTGCAACAATCTTAGCTCCGTTAATGATCAATTCTTGTGTAATATTGACACCCCCCAATATCACCAGATCATGATCAGGAACTAAAGTACTTAGTGATGCATTAACAGGCAAAGAAGCAAGTTCCATAAAGGTGAACTTTCGAGGTAGTATGTGAATCCTTACTATTTTCTCAAGCAAAGCTGAAGGAGATGCTACAAACGAAAATTCCGGTGGAGCAAAGACAGTAACAGAATTGAAGTTCATTTGATCGTCAAGAATCCCATCAAGAACAGAATTCAGGCCAATTGCAAACGAAACGAATCCCTTGGAGCTTAGCCAATGGATAATATGCATCCATTCAACCATTTTCTTGGTATCAGTAACCTCTGAAACCAAGCTAAGATTAGAATCACATATCGGTGCTTGAATATGATCCCAACTCCGATCACCATATAGAGAATCCATAGAGGTAAATGGACCAAGAACACCATGAATTGTTAAGGGCCCTTCAAGAAAAATATCCGGATGGGAAACCAACACATGATTGATCTCTACCACTCTTTCTCTCGCATCAACCTTCGTTATAGCCACATTCTTTCCATGAAGAATGGTAGGGAAGCAACTACCTTGGTGCTTCTTCAAGAGATCATTCATGGAAAGCTGAAGAGGAGAGGCATGATATTGGAAAAGATGCTTCAAGAGCCAAAAAGTGTGAGAGGATTTTGCAATGGAAGAGTCCGGGATTGCAAAGATTGTGGAGTGTGGAGAGGAAATGAACATTTCAGGGGTGATTTGAAGGAGGGCGGCTATGATGTTAAAATTACCTGTTCTTCTTAGAGCGGCAGAGGCTTCTAAAAAGAGTGGTGCTGTGGTCGATTTGGTCGGTAGTGGTTCATCTTTTGGTAGTAAATGTATCGCTGTGGAGATTGCTAGGAAAGCTAACAAAACCGAGACGGTGAAGTAGACTGGCGCACGCCACCAATTTGAAGAAAAGGCCATTTTTCTGCTGTGAAAGTTGAGTTTTGAGAGGGACACAGAGTAGGTCTTGAAGAAATAAATAAATCGCACCGCCTGACATAGTCACAACATAAACTTTTCTCTTGGGCTTGGCTTGAATTTCACTTTGGACAAACCAAAGGGCCCAGATTCAGGCTTCAGCATTTGGGCCTTGGGCAATTTAAGACCTAAATAGCCCCAAAATGTTCACATCATCTAAAGCATAACCGCTTGAGCTTTAGGGAAAATAAAATAACTTGTAACGCTCCGATTCACCTAATTCAATACGGGTTTTTTTTATTTCAAAATCAAGGAAGAGATAAGCTAGGTCGAGATCAAAAATAAAAAAATGGGAGTCGAGTTGAGGTAAGTGTAAGGTATCTTGTGAGCCTTTATTTACAGTAATAATGTATTTGATTTTTTATTTAATTTTATATTTCTTATAAATGTATACTAGATTAAAAACTCTATTATTTTATGCTAATTCAAGAGATTAATTCAATAATATATATTTAAAAATAATTAAAATATAATTTATATTAAAAATAAAGTTTTTAATCAAAATTACATTAAAATAAAATCATAAAACCAATTTTCGAGCGAGACAAGATGTGGGTTATTAATATTTCAGTTGGGTCGAACTCCCGCTGTTAGGGTGAGGCAAGACATGTTCAGGTTTAAGAGAAGATACGCTTAGGTCAGGTTTGGCAGACAAAAGGACTTGATCTATCCTGAGGATAAAAGCACTCTTACTCTAAAAAATATATATCCATGCAATTAAAGTTATAGAGATTTCAGATTGGGGAAGCTGTGCACATGGCATCGCTATTTTTTTTTTTCTTTTTTTAAAAAATATTTGAATTTTTTTTATTAATAAAAAATGTGTAAAGGTAAGGAAATGACTGTTGAACAGAAGGAAGATGGTGAGTAGGTAAGAAAGTCTGAATGTTTGAGATGGACGTTAGGGTTAAGAAAAAGGAAAGAAGAAAAAAAGAAAGACGGGGCTACAAAGATTGAGTGGGGAATGTTGTGAAAAACAAAAAGAAAAAAATGAAAGAGTTGCGGCGGGTCAGATACAAATCAGTGAACCAAACTCGAATTGATTCAGTCCTAAAAACTTGAACAAACCGTATCCAAGATTAATGCTTGATTTGGATTTCAACGGAGCCACGGTGAGGCGCAATTTAAGACGTGAATCATGTAATTTTTGCGTTTACGTGATACCAGTGCGGTGTACCATTGTGATGATTGATGGAGTTCAGTTGCGCACTGGAGCCTCATTGGTCCAGTGAAAATTTTTTTAATTTCAATTACAACTTTTTTGCCATTTTTATCCTCCTTCGTTTTATATTTTTTCAACTTTGTTTATTTTTAATTTTTTATTTAATAGTTTTCAAAATGATTTTATTTTTTTATAAGATAAAATTTTTAATTATTAATATTTACTAGCAAAACTATTATTTAACATAAAAATAATTTACATTTTTTAATAATTTATTAATTTTATAAATTTAAAATAATTTAAAAATTTATTACATATGCCTTTCAAAAATATTGTAAATTCAATATATAATGTTATAATAATATTTTTATTATTTATTAATTTTTATAAGTTAAGTAATTTAAATTTGTTATTACATATAAATTTTAAACTAATGTTTTTAATGGTCATCTTTCATCTCATTATAATTTAATTCATCGTCACTATTGTGTTTGTATCCGAACACATATTTTTATTATTAATTTTAATCTTATCACTATAACAATTAATTTCACCTCCATTACTGTTTTTAATTTCGCTAGAACTACTCTTATTGTTTATCCAAATGAATCCTCAATCTTAACTCATTCCAAACCCACCTATTTTGTACCTTTTTATTGAATTGGGTTTGACCTAACATTGTGGTACAATTTTTGTCTTTTATTTGCTAATTTCATTATTTAAGTATATACAAGTTTATGCTATATATATATATATATACATATATGAATATCTTTGAGCATTAGTAGAATTATGATTAGTTTTCTTTATGATAATAAGAGAGTAAATTAAATATGGCATAAGAAAATTAAATAACTTAATAATAGAATTAACTTACATTATCACGTTTTTTGTTTGTATCATATGTACTTGGTAAAGGATGTGAGAATTAAAATATAAGCATATGGCATGTTATAATGTTTAGGTTGAAAGAACTTATCTATTAGATACAAAAATTATGGTGTCATCAACAATTTTTTTTAAGTAGGCATAATTGGCCACTTATGTGAATATATCATTTTTAAGATTATTCTAAATGTAAACTAAAGATTTCTAAAAAGAATAGATTCTGATCTACATTATAGAACTAAGGTTGGGAAGTTGATTATGTACAGGAAAGATATTAGTATCCCATTACACCCAAAATTAATACCAAGTTAATTATGTGTCATATTACCTAAGCTTTAATCAAATAAGCTTTTGATCATGCAAATAAAACAATTTCAATCCTTTTATTTATTTAAACAACCTTATTATACAAAAAAAAAAAAATTCTATCATAAATTCCATCATGCAATCATGTAATAATAAGAAATATTATGCCAATATAGAAAAAAAAAAAAAAACCAAAAATGATGCCAACATATCATGCCATAAATATAAAATCATACCAAAATATCCATGCAAAAATATCATGCAATAATATAAAATATCATGTAATAATATAAAATCCCATGCTAATATTAATTGCCATGCAAATATATTAACCATACAAATATAATATTAATCATGAAATATAATCATGCAAATAATACAATTAAATATATAATCATGTAAGTAATAATTAATCATGCAATTAAATTTCTATAATGCAATTAAATATATAATCATGTAATTAATAATTAATCATGCAATTAAATATATAATTATGCAATTAAAATTTTAAAAAATCATATTATAAAATATCTTATCGAAGTTTTTTTTTTTATTTTAAAGATATTTATAAAAATATAAATAACAAAATTGAAATAGGGAAAAAAATAAGAAATAAAATTACCAAAATTGGACTTAGACAAGACTTAAGCTTATGTTTGGTCGAAGTTTGAAACTCGAATTTAGAGATATTAATCTTACTTATACTCAACGGGGAAGCCGACTTGTTATCTAAATGGAAATAAAGATGGGTATTATATTATTAGTATGAAGATGAAGATGTATATGATTTTAATTTTTTATTGAGTATGAGGATAAGGATAGGTAATATAGTACCCGCTCCATACCCATACCCTATATATATTTATACATATTTAGTAAATAGAGTTTTTTATTAAATAATATAAATTATTATTTTAGATTAATTAGAATTAATATACTTTTATTGGAAATATGTATTAATATATATATTTATAAAAAAATTACCTAAATATACAAGATAAAAATTTAAAAAGGTTAAAAAAATAAATTTTAGTTTTTATTTTTTAAAAAGTTAAAGGTATGGGGATTACCTATATCCATTAAATACCCACAGGGATAGGAATGTGGATGTGGATAAATTTAAAATATCCATTAAGTTTAAGTATAGGGATGGGGAATGCTCTATCTTATCCATACCCTACCCATTGACATCCCTACTTGAATTAGGCTTCTAGTAATTGGGTCAAGTGTTAATCATTAAACCCCACACTTTCTTTTAACTTTCCACTTCTATCTTATTCAAATAGAATCAAGCTCCATCATTTGTTATTGCTGCCAAAGCCATAGAGTTGTTGGTTCCTAGTCTAAAATTTTTTTAAGAAATCTGCTTGCTGCTTGTCTTTTATGTATTTTCTCACAATAATTGCCTCTGTGTGTTGCTGATGTGTTGCTCTTTGTTACTTAATACTTGATTGCTAGATGCTTGCCTTTCTTTCTGTATGAGCTTATTTGCTTTTGGAAACTAAGTTTATTGTTGCATATTTGATCTTTTTGTTGCTTATTACCAAATTGCTTCTTGTTTTCTTGTTAAACTGCTAATAGTTTATTGAAAACTGCTTATGTTTACTAACTGCCTTTGGGAATTGAGCTTGTTTTTACTGTTTCATTGCTTTTGCCCTTGATTATTTACCATTGGACTATTGATGGTCTTTTTTCTATGATTGCCTTATAATTGCCTATTTTCCTCTTGTTGTTGATTAAGGCCCGATTGTGCTACTTTTGTGTTTGCCATTGTCGAATTGCTCCCTGTTTCAAAATTTTGCCTAAAATTGCCTCTATATTAATTATGAATTCTCTATGAGATATCCCTTTCCTGATTACATATTAAAGTTCTTTATATAAAGATTCAACCTATTCTAATTTGGAAAAGTTTAGGTCCTATCGAAACTAAGAAACTTTTCATGATTTGATTTTTTGTAATCTTTTCCTTTTCAGTAAATTGAGCTTTAAGAATTTCCCATGCATGATCAGTCAATAAATCCTAGAACCTGAGGCTAAATTTTGGAATCAAGATCGAATTCGCCACTCCCTTTTGCTAAAATCCAGATGATTTTCTTATAATTTCATTTTTTTCTTTTTGTTTTCCTTTTTATTTTTTAACTTTTGACTTTTTGAAAAATTTTGACCAAACAACATTAAACTAAAAAATTAAAATTAAAATTAAAAGATCACAATCCAAATTAAAAATTAAAATCAAACTCTAAATCAATACCTTTTAGGCTTTTAATCTTTTAGGCCTAAAATTTTGCATTAAGGCCCAAAATTCAAAGCCTAATGGATTTCAAAAAAAATTTTGACAAAATAAAATGTCTACAACTACCTTTCTTTTTGCACTTGCTGTGAAACAAGAATTGTATGAAGATAAAAGACATACATCTTGTTTGGATCTAGAAAAAAAATTGAAAAATAAAATTGTAAAAGCTACCCCACAACTTAAGCTTGAAAACTTTAAAAAAATAAAATAATCTCTGCTGAGGCTTCAACTTTGAAAAAGAAAAAATAAATGGTACTCTTGGTTTCAAGTTTGAAAAATAAAGTTCTCTTCCACCAAGACTTTAACTTTTGAAAAATAAAGTATTCCTCCACCGAGCCTTTAACTTTGAAAAATAAAGTACTC